AATATTTGCGTTTAAATATTCTGTAATATTTAAATAAGTAGTAGTAATGAAACAGATATTATAATTTGAGTGAATTAACTCAAAGTGATTTTTTTTGAGTTAACTAGAGTTAATTTAGAAAAAGTGGTGTAGTTAGTTGTTAGTGGAATTTTGAGTTTATATTAAAATAATATTAAAAATAAATAATTAAAATTGGTTTGATGTAAAAGTAGGTAAATTCGATGCTGCAAGTAATGACACTTCCTTCACCTCCTAAAATTCTAACACGTGTTCGTTCTCCTTTTTTAATTATTTTATTTTTTCATCCATTAAAATACAGATAAATGTAAACCAGGGTTAAGAAAAAAAAAATACTATCTTCCCAAAAGTTTCGATCCGTGCCACTTCAAAATTTTTCATCTCCTCAAATTTCAGTCGGCGCCAGTTTTAAAAATTTTGAATCCAAAAATTTGAAAACTTCACTACCTACTATATAAATTACCTTCAAATATTTTTTATATGCATATGTATTTTTTCAGATCTAAATAATTTTATATAAACTCTTCCTTCTTTTCTTCACCTCAATAAATCTTCTCAACTTATAGTAAACCATAAATTAGACTGTTTATTTTCGCTGTCAAGAGTCACCTCCGCTGAGATTCACGTGAACGATCGAAGATCGTCCCGCGCCACTAGAATTAGAGTACCTGTTGCCGCCGGGATTCTGTTGCCACCGGGATTTGTTGTCGCTGGGATTTATTGCCGACGGAAGTACCATGGAATTGTCGCAGATCTAAAAAGGATTCCATATACATCCTTCTTTATTTTCTTGTTGCCATCGGGAAGTTGCTTGTAATCTGGCTATGCAGCAATTTTTTTTTTTGCAGATCTAAGAGGATGAACGAACGAAGGGGTAGGGGACTTTTATTGGGTTGAGTTGTACTTGTGTNTTTTGTGTTGGGCTATAATAGATATTGGGCTTAGAATTTTTTTTTATTGTGTTGGGCTATAGTGGATATTGGGGTTAGAATCTTTTTTTACAAAATTTTTAGTTTTTTTTCGTTGGGCTATAAGGCTTAATTGGCTCATAAATTATTTTTTATTGAGTTTGATTATAATTGGATTTGAGCTATCTGATACTTATAGGTTAAGAAATTATTTTTTACTCCATTTTCTTTGGGATATTATACTAGATTACTATGTCATTTGGGTATTAGACACATATATACTGATTAGGCTAAAAAAAAATTTTTAACCCCGTTTTCTTTAAGCCATTATACTAGATTAGACTTCTATTTTATTGGCTATTAGATTAGTATTTGTGTTGTGCTATTGAAGTTGGGTAATTAAACCATTATTTGTCTTTTTACTAATTATGTTTCAACTATTATTTGTGTTTTACTATATTCTTTTGTTTATCATTGAGTATATATTTTTGTAAACTAGTTCCTATCATAATATATATGATAGTATGAATTTCAGTGACATTGAAATTAAAAAAATAAAATAGTTGCATATATTCCCCATTTTGCAAACATACTCTGTATTCAATATCAATTAGTAAATAATACAAATACCATATGAATTATTTGAATAGAACATCAACAATACAATACAACAATTCAAATCACAATGCTCCTAAACTTCAAATAGAAGAGTAGTCAAGTACAATAAAATGAAAGGAGAAGCTTGCTATGCTAATAAAAACAGTCAAGTGCAATAAAATGAAAGGAAAAGTTTGATATGCTCCTAAAAAGTCAACTGCATAACCCAACTAACAAAAAATAGCCCAAGTACAATAACTCATACTATATAAACCCAAATAACAAAATAGTAGTCCAAATGAAATAACCCAAACTACAAAACAAACTATTACAATTAGTCCAAATGCAATAACAATTCACACAAGAAATGCTATAAATAATCCCAAGACAAATGGCAAAAATTCTAGCAGCAACACACATGCTTGGAACTCCAAAATTTATACTTGATTGTCGTTGTTATGAGATGGACCCTAATAAGAGAAAATAAAAAGTCAATGAGAGAGAATGTCACTTCTTGTAGATATTTTTTTTACTCAATGCAATTAAAATATCATTAAAATTAAAATAATACTGAACCTGTGATGAATTTGGAAGTGGATATCCAAATAAATTCAATTGACCATCCAAGTCTTCCTGTGGAACAAATATAGAATATAAAATGTAATATGAGATTTTCATGCATGTTAATACTACAGTCACACTCCTCTTCCCCTTAAGAAAAATACATATGTTACCCCTTGAGTTTGATATTGCCAAGGTGCTTGTCCCGGTCCAATTTGTGATGACAATTGTGCGGTTTGGAACATAAGCATGTTTGGAAGATTCGGTAACGGTACATTAGGAACTTGAAAAGGCGGTGGAATTTGTGGTGGCGGTATATTAGGAACTTGAGTTCGGCGGAATCTATCCAATGTATGTGACTTTTCAAACTCCTGTGAACTTGGCACCTTTCTTTTGGAACCTTTTCCAAATAAAACACACAAGTTCAACAAAGTTAAAAAAAATAAAAAAAAAATAAAAAAAATGACTTGAAAAGAAATATAATGCCAACTAAATAAGAAAACTTACTTGAACTATCACCGTGAGCCTTTCCTCTTCCTTTTGCCTTTTTGGTCTTTGCATCCCAATGACGCATAATCCATGCATTCGTTAATCCTCTTGAGTTGGCCGTAAGTGGGTCACGTATCCGTACACCCTCTACGGTACCATCATTTGCAATATCGTCATGCATACTCGAGTCTTCAAGATTTAAATTTTGAACCAAATCCATAATTTGGTGTTTTGCCGCATCTAACGTTGTGGTCAATATGCTCCAGGCCTCCAAATGAAATTTGCTCATGTGAGCAAGCCCGGATTCTTCACCACTTCCACAAGCACCATCACTTGCTTGGAAATCATTATGAATTCTCAACCTCGCACTTCTCATCCACCTTTTCAAAAGGTAAGGCTCTGGTACATCCAAGTAGTTGAATACCATTAAAACATGCTTGCAAAAAATTCTCATGGTCTCAAACTTGTGACAACTACACCTTGCTTCATTAGTTTGAGAATTCATGAAAACATGCCTTACCCTCGAGTTATCGCCGTGAGATTTTACTTTAAACCCTAGTGTTCCACAATCATTGGCACTCTTCAATGGAGGACCAGGACCATCGAATTTGCAATTCAAAGAATTCACAAATTCAATCTCAAACAACCCATAAACGGTAAGGGTATACACACTAGCACCATGATTAAGCAATGGATGGTTCTTAAGAATTTAAGCAGGTTTGCCATGACAACAACGAGTATCTTCAGCCTTCTCTTTAGACCGCCATTGACTTAGAATTTTCTCATAATTCATGACAAATTCAAACAAAGAACTAGTCTTATTACCTGTCTGTTTCAAAACCATATTTGCATTCTCACTTCTTGATGTAGCCAACATCCCGGCACTAAATAGCTTATTACTAAAAGCTGTAGCCCATTTTCTTCTAAGCTTATACATGCCAAAAAACCATTTATGATCATGCAATTCAAATGAATCAAGCATAAATTTCCACGTGCTCTCAAACTCCTCCTCAGAATCACACTGAGACATACACTTATACCATAAGGCCTTGAACGATGCATTACCATTTAAATTACTCAAGTGAGAAGGAGCATTTTGATTTATATGCCATTGACACAAACGATGATGAGAATTGGGAAAAACATTTTCTATCGCATTCATCATGGCTTGACATTGATCGGAAAAAATTATTTGAGGTTGTTTACCATTCATAGAATCAAGAAATGTTGTAAACAACCATTCAAATGAACTTTGAGTTTCATCCGACATAAAAGCCAACCCAAACAACACATTCTTCATATGGTGATTTATGCCGATAAATGGAGCACATATCAAATTGTACCTATTTGTGCTATAGGTAGTATCAATAGAAAGAACAACACCAAAATGCTTGTAGCCCACCGCACACCTATAATCCCTGAAGAAAAAATTCATCACCCTGTCCTCATCATCCAATTGCACATTCCAATAAAAAAACATTCATTATTTGCCTTATGAATAAAGTGTTGAAGCATGCAGTGGCATCCCCATTTTCAACTTTTGTATGTTTCTTCAATTTCCCAATATGGTCATATGCATCCTTTCGAATAAAACCTAAATTTTTAGGCCCTTGGGCTTCATTCTCCATATAGGAAATAACATTAGCCACAGAAATTCCAGCGTTCACCATAGCTTGTAAAGTAAATTGTTTTGCATGAGAAATGTTATGGGCGGATCTTAACAAGTGAGTTTGGTCCGGCGCAAACATTTCATGATTATGTTCAATAACAAATCTACTAACTTGCCAATCTCCTCCTTTTGGTCTCTTAATCTTAAGTTGTTCTTTACAAGAAGTTTTAGTTATCGGCTTTTGATAAATTGGAATTTTTTTACTAGAACGTTTTTCATCTTTTTCACCAGCACAAGAACAACCAAAGATCTTTGACTGAATTTCACTACTACGGGGAAAACAACGTTGATCTCCTTTTCTAACGCTAAATCCTTTAGCATGTGCATATTGACAATAAAGAAAATAAGCATCATCAATACCATTCACCATTGTACCCACAGCTAACTTACTCTCTAGAGCATCAACCATATTATTTGACGAATGTGCTTCACCATGTTCTAACAACTCAGGCGGTTCCAATTCGGGATATTCCAAATCAACATCAAAAATATCATTTGTTCCAATATTTGCTCCATTCCAATCCTCATCTAAATTGATGTCTATGTTCCTAAAATTTTCACATAAACAAATTAAAAATAAAAAGAGATAAAACTAAAAGTTCTATTTTTTTGCTTGGAGAATATGAAAAAACTGATAATTATTAAGTACCTATTTCAAAAGAGTTGAGGAGATATATATCATTGAAATGTTGTCATTCAACTTTGATTCCTCTGTTCTAGAAGAAAATACAACTGCGGGTGGTAATGGGTTGTACGGGTTAGTGACCAGGTCTCCGACCGGGGTGGAGTCTGGAGGTGAGGGGCCCTGGGGTGGAGTCGGAGCACCGGGGTGGTGACGGGGCGCCGGAGTGGAGATGGAGCGCCGGGAGGTGACGAGGCGCCGGTGGAGTCGGAGCATCGCGGTGGTGACGAGGTGTCGGGTGGAGTCGGAGCACTGGGGTGATGACGGGGTGCCGGGGTGGTGACGGGCCGGGCGGCGCCAAGGTGGTGTCAGGCAATGGTGGTGACGGGCTGCCGGGGTGGTGACTGAAAGGCGAGGCAGTGTTCTGTTTTTCCTTTTTGAAGTTGAGGATGATTTTAGGAATTAGGGTTTAATTTCTTTATTTAATTTTAATCAATGAGGTTAGTTCAATTATTGTGGGATCTTTCTTTTAACCATAGTTTAACCCTGGTTCACAAGTATTTATATTTTAATGGATTAAAAAATAAAATAGTTAAAAAATCAGAATGGACACGTGCCAGAATTTTAGGAAATGAAGACAGTGCCATTACCTTTAGCATCAAATTAGCCGTAAAAGTAGGAGAGAAATGATATGATGTGATGGTTAGTTAAAATTATGTGAGGAGATGAATAGAGAATTAAAGTTGATATGATGTGTAAAAATAATTGATTGTTATTATTTAATGATTGGTTGTTATTATTTAATTATATTGATAATATTTAGAATAGTGGAGTTGAGTTATATTTTGAGTAGAATTAATTTGATTTGAGTATATATTCTTTAACAAATACACCCTAAGCTAGCTCAAGCAAATGACATGTCCGAGGCCGAGTTGACAAATATTGTATGTCGACAGATCGGTTTTACTATGAAGCCAACAGTTGGCTTTATAATGGAGCCAATTTTCTATATACAATAATAAAATGTATTATATTAATAAATTATATTAATGTTATTTAAATAATAAAAAAATATAGTAAATTTATTTGTTGTATATAAAAGATTGGGTTGCAAAATCGGTGGACAGATATAATCAATTTCATCTCTGTTTAGAAAACACTCAATTGGTATTTTTGTCATTTTCCAGACATTCAAGATGATCCGCAGTATGGCTCTCTCATCTCAACATACCTGTCACCGCCGGAACTGGAATCCCTTCTCCTCACGGGCGACGGCGGCGGCTAAAACCACCGCCACGCCAGCAATTCACGGCATCTCCTTCCTCTCCTCCTCCAATCGCCTCCGCCTGCCGAAACAATTAGCCCCCAAACCCCTCAAAAACCCTAAATCCAACTCCAGAAACGCAAAAAGCACAATCACGGCCCTCTTCACCGGCATCGTCGAGGAAATGGGCACCGTCAAGCGGCTGGACAACAACGACGATAGCTTCACCATGAAAATCGGGGCCAAAACCGTTCTAGAAGGCGTCCACCTCGGCGACAGCATCTCGGTCAACGGCACCTGCTTGACCGTCACTGAATTCGACACGGCCTCGTCAGAGTTTTCGGTCGGCCTATCGCCTGAAACCCTGCGGAAAACTAACCTGGGAGAACTGGGGATCGGAAGCCCGGTCAACCTGGAGCGGGCCGTGAGCCCGACCACTCGAATGGGCGGCCACTTTGTGCAGGGCCACGTGGACGGGACAGGTCAGATCGTGGGCATGACGGCCGAGGGCGATTCCCTGTGGGTGAAGGTGAAGGTCGAAAGGAAGGATCTTTTGAGGTACATCGTGCCCAAGGGCTTTGTGGCCGTTGATGGGACTAGCCTGACTGTGGTCAACGTGTTTGATGACGAGTCATGTTTTGATCTCGTGCTCGTGGCCTACACGCAGCAGAAGATTGTCATCCCCTTGAAAAGAGTCGGGGACAAGGTGAATTTGGAGGTTGATATTTTGGGCAAGTACGTGGAGAGGTTGATTGCTGCTGGGCTTGTTGACTCCATTGTTGGAAAATCTTCTTCGTCTTGAAATCGTAGAGGTATCTTCATATTGTAGCTTGATTTACTGGACCTTCTTAATAAGTTTAGTGGATCGTGCTGAGTTGGTAACTGAAGTTTTATTGTTGATGTTGTTGTTGTTCTGGGATTTTGCGACGTTTGAGTGGTAATGTATTTTAGAAATTGAATCCAGCATTTGTCTTTCTCGTCTCATTTGTCTCTGTTCTACTGATGTATACTTGATTCTAATTCTCCTCTGTGTTGAAATTTCTTGTTTTGTGAGATGAAAGATCCCGAGAAATTGCTGCTGTTGATGTTTGTATTTTCTAAATGATTTGGTTACTGGGTTATAGAAAACTTATATGCATTTCATTTGGATATTCTCATAAACTTTGACTTAGATATTCATTTTACCTAAAGATTCTTTAAGTTGTTAGAAAGATATCCAATTCATTTGACAAGTCTCCTCTGGCATGCAGATGATATGCACATACATTGATTTTCCTCTGTAACAATGTAGGAACACTGCTATAATACCATGTACTGTACTCTGTTCAGCTATGGAATGTCTTATAGCATGCTATCTTGTCCACAAGGTTGTCAGTTTCTTGATCTAATCGTAAGATCGTACTATTTTATGATCCGAGTATAGCTACACGTCCATATCGTGGGCAGATTTGGAATCATGTTGAATTGTTTTCAAATCGTTACAACCTATCGTATAGGTAAAATCCAAGAAATTTTTGTAATTCTGGTGTTTTTTCCATTTATCTTCTTTCCTTTTTTTATTTTGTCTGGAGTGGGCATGGATACACGAAAGTGTCATGGGACAGAAACTTGTGTAGTTTATTCCTGCCTATGGAACAAAAGAACATACCTTTGAGCCGAAAGTACAGACTTGTTTACATGTTTGCTTGACCTAGCGAAGTCCATGCCTAAATTGTGGTAACAAATAAGTTGTGAGCAATTCTGTCGTGTACCCTATCTGAGGGATGGCCTCTTAGTATTTTGGCCTAGCTTGAAGAAAGATGCCCTTGCACTTGTTCGAAAATGCGATAAAGACAATTATTACACGTTGACTATGTCGAAAATCAGTAACAGCATGGCGTGGAAGCATATGATGCTTACAAATATTACACGCTGACTATGGCCTATGAAACTGCTGCACCACCTGCCATTCTTCAACAAGTTAGTAGTGTGTTTGTGTGTTGCCATTAATACATGCTAGATGAAGACTTGGTATGGAACGGAAGCTTAAAGAGAAGTGTGCTTGACCACTAACTTGTGTCATTTTTTCACCTTTATTTTTATAAACGAAGTAGAAGCTGAGGGGGGATATGCTACAAGAGGTTCCCAATTATATCCCCCACACATTGAACCTACAAGAGGTTCCTAATGCGCTTATTTAGAAAACACAAACAACAAACATAGGCTACATAAGTCTACAGAGCATACACCAAATCCAAACACCTTATTCATTAATTCCTCTTTCTTTTCCCGACTGGTTTTTCCTCTTCCACCTGTCTCTTGGGCCCCAAGAGCTTCTTCTTGTTCAGAAAGTTCATGAACCATATAGCCGACTGCTTTGGGTACCTTGTCAGCCCATTTACGTAGTCCACATAGTACATCCCAAACCGGACCGAGTATCCTTCAGCCCATTCGTAATTGTCGAACAAGGCCCACACTATGTACCCCTTCACGTTCACCTTATTTCTACTGCAACCAAGACAAATAAATTAATATATATGGCTATACGTTTTTCGTTAATTAATAATAATAATAATAATAATCTCACTCCATGGCTAGTTTCACAAAGGCCAAGTGCTGTTGATGGTACTGAATCCTAGCGTCATCGTGAAGAAGACTCGACAGTGGGAGCGTCTTGTCGAATTTCTCGTTCGTTCCTATATGATGAAAATTACTTAAACTATAATACGGCTAATTAATATACACATATCTTTAATAAATTAATTGTAGTGATGATTACCATTCTCTGTCACGTAAATGATGGGATCGTTGTATTTTTTCTTGGCGTAAGTGAGAAGTTCGTATATCCCGACAGGGACAACAAACAACCAATCCGAACCAGCCTGTAGGCAGGCATATATGATAAATTGACATTCAATTTCACATTCAACTACGTATAACAACACCAATCTATTTACAATTCAACACATCTGTTGTAATTAATTTTATTTATTTATTTTGAAACATAATCTACCTGAGGGCCAATGGGAACTCCATTCCGTTCAGCTGGAAACATAAAAAGTTATATCAACTTAAAAATGTCAAGAAATTCCCATGATCCAAAATATAGTACTGAAAAGAATCTGGACGTATACGTACACAAACACAATTGTTTGAATTAAAGTATTATTAGCATTTTATATTATTTAGACTTACTATGGAATTCAACTTCCTGATCCGTGTAGTAATTTATGGGGTCACCAGGTTGCTTGGGCTTGTACTCGGCCCAATTGGTGGTGTAATAATTGAGCCCAATAAAATCGTATGATCCAAGTACCAACTCTCTTTCCTCATCTGAGAACTTTGGTAGCCTCTCACCCACTCGCTTTTGCATACTAAGGGGATAATGTCCAAGCGCCAGAGGCTCTATATACCTGAAAAAAAATAATAGTAGTTAATATATTTATATATTATATGAGAGATTGATGAATTACCAAAAAATAAAATACAAGTAATTACCATCCCAACACAAACTCAATAGCTCTTTCTGTAGTAGCAATGTCCTCTGGCTTGGTCGAGTAAGGATGGTACCAATTGATTGCCGTTACAATACCGATTTTGCCCTCTTGGACGGCCTGCAGCGCATGCATATAAATATATAGACATTTTTTATTTTCAAAAATTAAAATTTGAATACAAAAATATCATACCTGGTATTTTTTCCTATAGATATCGACGGCCTTGGCGTGGGCCAAGATCAAGTTGTGGGCCACAATGTAGGGCTCAGTGGCCGCATCCCCACCATAACAAGTCTGGTCAATGTCCAAGCAATGCCTATGCTTAACTACATTGAGGCCCAAATGCTCATTGGGGGCCCCATGGCCCGGCGGGAAAGTACCCGTTATATAGCCCAACGTCGTATATGTGCTCGGTTCATTTACCGTCACCCACATTTTAACCCGATCACCAAACTCGAAAAAGCATACCTCTGCGTACTCTGCAAAGTCTTGCCTGTTTTCATTTTATTTATTTAATTATATAAGTCTTGTTAAGTATGTATTATATCAAATTAATTTAAGTGTTTGACTCTTACAAAATCCTATTATCCAAGAAGCCTTGGTACTCATCTTCCAAGCATTTGGGGACATCAAAGTGAAAGATTGTGGCAAGTGGTTTAATATCTGTCACCCAAAAAAAAAAAATTAACATATTCTAATTAAGATATTGTTTGTAATTTCTTAAGTTAATATAATATTATGGTGTATATATATTATATTAGACTAAATGAAATGAATAGTTTTAGTATCAACCTTCCTCGAGCAACAAGTCAATGAGTTGATTATAAAAATTGACACCCTCTCTGTTCAGTCCAGCGCTCAATCTACCACCTAATTACACAACACACAATACAAATCAAAATAGTAATAATAAATTTAATTACTCAATGAGACATTAATTAACTAGTTACTACTACTATATATATATATATATATATTATTTTTAATTAATTTTTTTTATATGTAAAATACAGTACCTGGCAATATTCTAGACCACGAAATTGAAAACCTGTAATAATCTAACCCCATTTTCTTCATCAATTTCACATCTTCCTACAATGTGAATTCATTCCACGTCAGAAGCAGTAGATTAAATAATAACATAATTAAAACCATCAATAAAATAGTAAATTAATTACTCTAAAAAGGTTGTAGTGATCAATAGCAACACAACCGTTGCCTCCGTCCTTCACTTTAGCTGTCATTAGTTCGTTACCAAATTCATTAGCAACATCAATTTTAAAATAAAAACAATATAGTTAAAGAATTTTATGTACTTTTTATATGGACATATAGGCAATAAAAAAAATAAAAAATAAAAAAGATAAAAATGTATATAAGTACCAGGTTTGAGCAAGCTCCAAGCATCCCAGTTGCTCATACCCCGGCGACCCTGGTCGTAAGCTCCTTCCACCTGAAATAATATTATATTCCCAATTTAGAAAATATACATAATATTCTGTGAGAATAAATAAATTGAAACCTTATATAAATATCTCTGTATTCGATATTCGATATTTACGAAAAGAAATTTTAAATTTAAACATTGCATCCATATATAAGAACAATTATATCTTCTTAACAATTTCAATGAAATTAATGATCAACACGAACACTCTATAGCTTATAATTATAATATTTTTGTCTTCGTCAATCACAGTTTCAATTTATTTTCTCAAACAACAAACACTAATTAATCTTCATTTAATTTATCTTTAAATTATAGTTTGACACATTCTCCTCCTCCAATAAACGAAAAGTGATATATGAAAANGAATGAACAAAAAAAATAAAACAAAACAAAATAAAATGGTGTTTGAATGAATAATATACGACCTGATACGAAGAAGTGGCAGCACCAAAGATAAAGTCCTTCCCGAAGTCATGGCGGGTCAGTTGGCTGCCAAAGTTCAACGGCACAAGGTCGCCGGGAACCCATTCCACGTTGTTGCTAGCCATTACCAAACAATTTAATTATCAAGGCTTATTTTAAGAATTTGTATAATCTTTTAGTTACAAGATAAACAATGTGAGGCTCACAAACCGGATAGCCAAACATGATGTCTATATATAGGAAGAAAATGGAGGATGGAAATCATAATAATTGAGACCCGGACTGCCCCTGCGGGTCGACCTGGACCGGGCTGACCCGAGACCGAATTGATTTGGATGTGAGTTGTTTGGATTGGGTAGAAAGGGATACGGTCAAAAGATCCGGCCTTGACCAGGTCAACCTAAGTATTGACCTTGATATGCAAATTGTCCCAAAATCGGTGGAACCCCGGTCCACGAGACCGAACTGAACTGACTCGCTGTCTCCGATGGTGAATCGATTGCCTACGAACCGGTTAGAAATGGCCAAATCTAGTCTGATCAGACCGATTGAACCAATCCAGTTTTTAAAAATACTTTTAAGATAAATAAAAAATATATATTTAAATATAATAGATATATATGTGTTATTATATTAGTTAGTTTAAGTATTGAAATATTTTAAATTGACGTAATATTTAATTAACAAAATTTTATTTTAAGTATTATATATATTTAAAAATATTAATAAATTAAACACCAGTTTAACCACTTCTCCGACTAGTAAACCACTAAATCATTAGTTTCATCATCCATTTGATGATTAATCCGAGTTTCAGAATCTTGGTTCTTACCTCATGGATAAAACGACGTTGAATGAAAATGAAAATGAGATCAATAGTTACCTCACTAGATGACAAACATGAAACCCAAGAAAATCATGTGAATAAAAATGACACGCATTGTACCCTATCGTCTCCGTCATGTCACTTCACTAGGCATCAAACATCAAATCCTAGGGAGAACATATGAATGAGAAAGAGACGTGTATACCCTATATCCATAATCACCTTAATTAAAAATTATTATCACTCATTTTACAATAATTATCATATTTAATAATAATATTTTTTGATAAAAAATTATTCTCAAACCCCTAAAAAAATTTCCTGTGATATTTTATTTCTCATCAGTTTTTACAAACTTTTTAATAATTACATGAATATTTCACAGTTTTACAAATTAGACTACGATTATTTTAAATTTGATTGGAAAAATATAAAATAATATTAATAATAAAATTAAAATTTGTACACATGAAAATTTGAAAAATATATATTTATTAAATAATTTTAAACTACACATGAAAAAAATATACATTAAAATTTAAAAAATGACTAACTTGTGCTAATGATACGTGAGAAATCTTGTAATATTTTGTGAGCTAATTTACATATTTGCGTATTTAATTTTAGTGTATTATTCAAGTTTTCTCGCGTATTTTATTGTGTGAACGGACATACATCAATATTCGATTTTGTGTTTATTTTACAGTTATTACACCTATACGTGACGTGGAATTGTTGACTTGGCGTGGCAAATTAAAAGAGAGCCGATTGTCTCTCATTTTTTGTTAGACTTTGGATTAGTTACTTGTGCAAGTGAATTATTTTTTTGTGGTCTCTCACTTGTTTGTTGACCGGATAGAGAATTTGTAGTGGCATGGATTCATTTTATTTAAGGAGTGGGCAAAGGAATATGATTTTGGGGGGACTCTTAATTGGTGAGGGGCTGATTTGGCGTGGCATCAGGGAGTTGGAGAGAAAAAGGGGAGTGTTACAAAATAATTGAGGGTCATGTTGGAGCATTAAGCCGTGGGATAGAGACCATTACAGGGAGTTTGAATTACTTTTTTTATTTTGCTTTTCTATTTTATTTGAAGAACATGATGGATATTTATTTTTGTTTTTATTATTTAGCTATGTGTAGCTAAATACTTATTTCGGTTCTAGGGACGTTGAACCCTCGATGACTATGTTTGATTAATGCTATTTATTTTGTTTTACTCGTCGTATAAAGTTGATTGTGTTACTCTATTTTCATGTCATAATGTGTGATTTTTAATTTAGCTTGATCACCTAAGTTAGGAATTGCATGTTAATTGCTAGAGTTGAGGCTTCGATCCGTAATTGTCGTAGTTCTTAATTCAATTGTAGCAACTAACAGTCGTGCATTGTTAGGGATAGCAAAACATAAGTTACATGAACCGAGCTTATGTGTTTGTGGCTTAGATCGGTCTATTTTCCTAGATTTTAATGCGGCTAATGGGTTAAATTAGGAGAGCTTATTCCGAGTTATTCGCTAGTTAGAATTAATTGAAGAGCCTATTTCGATTAAGTATAAATTAAGGGAAAATTCGGGTAGCAGAGCTTATTGCTATCTAGGACCGGTAGTTTTATGAGACGAGTGAAATTTGATAAAAGCATTAATTGGGCTAGTTATTCGAGGGTGTAGACCGACCTGGAACCGATTCCATTCTCATCTTTGCTAAATTATTTGTTTATTTTCGGTTTCATCATCATTTGCATTCTAGTAATTTATTTTTAGTTCTAGTTTATATTTTTGCTTTGCGAGTAGTTTTAGTTTCAAATCAAACCCCCCCGCCCCATTTTTATTATAATCTAATTAATATAATAAATTCACTGTTTATACCACACTCCCTGTGGGATCGACCCTTGCTCGCCACTACTACTAGTTAGTAGGGGTAAGTTAGGAAATTTATAAATTCAAATTTGCCGTGTAACGACGCGCTGTAATCTAACTTGTTTAATGTTTTTTATTTTGTATTTTGTGTATTTGGTAACATTTTATTTCAGTTTTATTTTTTATTTGACTATATAGTAATTCATAAATTGAAATGAAATAAATATATAGTAACAAATTATGAAAGTGTCGAATGAATGTAATGAGTGTACACACATATCTAAATGTTGTTTTAGCATCATGCATACATAATTTTTTCTTTTTTTTATTCTTAAATAATCGCATAATGCGATCATATGGAAGGGGCGATGCTAACCCTAGGGACAGTGCAGTCATGCCCCTAGGGGCCTTTGATTCACACACACCCATGTGGATGTGTGGCCCTTGATGTATACACATACATACACACCCACATGGATGTGTGTGAAATCAAGGGTCTCTAAGGGCATGACTGCACTGCCCCTAGGGGTAGTACCGAATTTTCCGCGATAATAGTGTAGACGCACATATCCAAATGTTGTTTTAGCATCATGCATACATATTTTTTCCTTTTTTTTTTAAATAATCACATAATGCAATTATTATAGACATAATCGGACATCACTGTGAAAAGTGTGACCGTTCTATAATTATAAATAAATGAAAATTTTTATGTAAAAAGATGGAAAACAAAAGATCAATTCACATTTGACAAAACTTCTGCGATTATATAACTGCGATCAATCTTAAATTTTAAATAAAAGAACATTAATATGTAAGACTATCCTTATTTCCAATCCAACCCAACCCAACCTAATAATTAAAAAATATTTCTCTTCCTGCATTTACACAACTCAACCTTACAACCAAATTTATCTTTATCCCCAACCCAACTCAACTTAAATATTTATTTTATTTTAATTTATCTAAAAAATACAATTGTGTTTCAAAATATATCAAGTATGGTCTCTATTTGTAGAGAATAAAATAATATGTATTTTATATTTATTTTTAATTTTTTTAAAACAAAAAAATTATATTTGACCAATAAAAAAAGGACAAGTGTCCCTTTCTAAGAAAACAATCGGTTGCAACCTTGGGTTACATTGTAACCTCGGTTGCACAACCAACTGCTTTTCCTTTTTATTTTATTATTATTATTATTTAATTTTTTAATTGGTGACTCACTCCTTGGCATCACCCATAACTATTAGTCTAAAAGATGTAGTGAAAGAAAAGGACCCAATTTAACGCATATATGTGGTTGTAGGATAGAGAAAATGGTAGACATGGAGTAAATTTTCACCATTTTTTATGGGGGATTACTATTCACCGCCTCCTTGAATATTTTTGCCCCTGCCATTTTTTTCAAAAAGTAAAATATATATATATATATATATATATATTTGTCCGGCCGCCGAAACCGGACGGCCCAAATGGCGTCCGGCCCCGACGGCCGGTCGTGACCGGTCCGACCGGCCGGACATCATATTTTTTTTTATATAAAATAATATTATTATAAATTATTATGTTATATATGTAGACATCAAAATTTTAATATTTTATTAATTAATGTCTTTATTTATTTTTGGACATTAATTATATATCTTAATTATTATGAAATTATGTCCAAAAATAAATAAAGACATTAATTAATAAAATATTAAAATTTTGATGTCTACAAATGCCCCCTTGAGACTTGTTCAAGGACAAAATGTCTTGGTAGTGAATGAGTCTCAAAATTTTAGATTTGGTTGAGACATGAAGATAGTTTAAACTCTTATCTAGGAGTTCTTCAACTTGGGTTTGTAGATAGTTTAAGCTCGTATCAAGGAGTCTTGAAGTGATTTGACAGATAGTTTATACTCGTATCAAGGAGTTCTTGATTTGGTTTAACAAATAGTTTATACTCTTATCAAGGAGTCTTGATTTGATTTGATATGTAGATAGTTTATACTCGTATCAAGGAGTTCTTCATTTGACTTGATTTGTAGATAGTTTAAACTCGTATCAAGGAGTCTTGATTTGATTTGACAGATAGTTTATACTCGTATCAAGGAGTCTTCAAATTTGTAGACATTTTATGCTCGTGTCAAGGAGCCTTCAAATTTGATATGTAGACCTTTTATTCTCGTGTCAAAGAGATCTTGATATATAGACATTTTATGCTCGTGTCAAGGAGCCTTCAAGTTTGATATGTAGACCTTTTATTCTCGTGTCAAGAAGATCTTGATATGTGGACATTTTATGCTCGTGTCAAGGAGCCATATAGATAGTTTAGGCTCATGTCAATGAGCATTTGAATATGTAGATAGTTTAGACTCATATCAAGGAGCATTTGAATTGGATATTTGGATAGTTTTGGCTCATATCGAGGAGCTTTATAGATAGTTTAGGCTCATATCAAGGAGCATTTGAATATGTAGATAGTTTAGGCTCATATCAAGGAATATTTGAATATGTAGATAGTTTAAGCTCATATC